CACTGATTAACAATATAACTAGTTACCTTAAACAAGTCAGAATATATATTGGACATTATCGCAAGAAATGAAGTAATGGCATCCAGGAACTTGAAAACCTGTGAATATTTATTCTTATTTTGCTTCATATTACACAACCCAGCGAGATATTTGGGATGATTAGTGATAATTTTATTCATTTTCTATCACGCTGTAGAAGCAATGAGGAACTAGAATAATGTAAAGTAATAATCACACCTATACCCATCGCATTCATGATTGGCAAACTTCATTTACCAGACGATCTTACTAGGCAGATGTCACTATAGTAAAATATATCACGTAATAGGAGTGTTATAATATACTCCACTTATACTGCTCGGTCATGTCACATTATTCGGCCACTCTACGTTCCTCAAGCACAGATAATAAGTGAACGTAAATTAGACGGAACATTTCAACCATTTTTGGATGATTTTAGAGAGTTGGAGGTGTCAGGTGTCAGGTGGACTGAGTTCATTCGTACCAAGAATTACGGTTTGGCAATCAAGGGACGACTGGCATTCACTCATGACACCTCCCCCTCCCCCTCCTCTTTCTTCTCTTTCTCTTCCTCCCCCCCCCCTCCTCCTCACCACCTTCTCTCCCTTCTCCTCCTCTTCGTCTTCATTTTCCCTTCCTCCTCCTCCTCCTCCTCCTCCTCCTTCTCTTTCTCATCTTCCCCTTCTTCCTCCTCGTCTTCATCTTCCTCCTCCTTTTCCTCCTCCTCCTCCTCCTCCTCCTCCTCCTCCTTCCTCCTCTTCCCCTTCCCTTTCCCCTTCCTCCTTCCTCCTCTTCCTCTTCCTCCTCCTCCCCTTCCTCCTCCTTTTCCTCGTCCTCCGCCTCCTCCTTCCTCCTCTTCCCTTCCCTTTCCCCTTCCTCCTTCCTCCTCTTCCTCTTCCTCCTCTTCCTCTTCCTCCTCCTCCCCTTCCTCCTCCTCCTCCTCCTCCTCCTCCTCCTCCTCCTCCTCCTCCTCCTCCTCCTCCCTCCTCCTCCTCCTCCTCTTCCTCCTCCTCCTCCTCCTCCTCCTCCTCCTTCTCTTTCTCCTCTTCCCCTTCTTCCTCCTCGTCTTCATCTTCCTCCTCCTTTTCCTCCTCCTCCTCCTCCTCCTCCTCCTTCCTCCTCTTCCCTTCCTTTCCCCTTCCTCCTTCCTCCTCTTCCTCTTCCTCCTCCTCCCCTTCCTCCTCCTTTTCCTCCTCCTCCTCCTCCTCCTTCCTCCTCTTCCCTTCCCTTTCCCTTCCTCCTTCCTCCTCTTCCTCTTCCTCCTCCCCCCCTTCCTCCCCCTTCCTCCTCCTCCTCCTCCTCCTCCTCCTCCTCTTCCTCTTCCTCCTCCCCCCCCTTCCTCCTCCTCCTCCTCCTCCTTCCTCCTCTTCCTCCCCCGTATCTATCAACGACGAGCCTTACATTAATACAACTATGAAAGAAATTGTAAACAAGTCCCTCTTATTATTTTCTATGCGTGTTTTAGTGTTTTAATGGTGTTCAGTGGAGTGAGGCTGTCAGTATGTGTTTGGGTAGAGTGTTGTTGTTGTAATGAGAAGTGCAAGTAGATTGCCTTCAGTGAGTGAGTGACTATTACCAATTTTACTTCTTTCCATACTATATTTACACCATTACTACTACTACTACTACTACTACTACTTATTTTTTTAAAGCGTGGCCTCCAGCCTCCCTCAATAGCCACACCTTCGCCGCCATTTTATTACCTTAATATTAAATATCCTAATACAAGAGTAGCTATCCTATCTGTGTTGAATTAGTTGAGCCGTAGATCTATGCAGCATTCAGTGACTGTAGCCTCATAGTCAATATCTGCAGCTGCTGTCGGCATTGGGGCAGAAGCTCTCGTTCCCCTGAGGCAGAGCAAAGCTGACCGAAGGAGAGAGAAAGACAGTCGACATCTCATCCAGGCTGTAACATAACTTCTGGGCTGCTGCTTCTGTTCGGAGATCACCTCCGCGAGTCTGGCGTAGAAACATCTTGCACTTGGTCCCATCCCACCAGAGGTTGTGAACACTAGAGGAGTGAAGCTGCATTGATCAACGTTTTGAATTATCTCCCCATATGCCCTTATCTTGTCGTTCTCGTTCCTCCTGTGTGCAGCATCAAGAGCTAGGTTACGGTGACATGCGGCCATGGGATCAAAAATCCTGATGTCGAAGAAAGCTCGCTGTCCCCGCGTCCAGAATCCTCGAGCACTGACGTCAACACGGACTTCGTTAGCTGTGTTTGAAGTCCTATGTTGGAAGATCTCACCGTCCAAAGGAAGGAGGGTCGGTTCTACCATGACATCCCAGCAGATTTCCTTCAGCATATTTGCTGTGAGGTCCCTTACTTCGTCATGCCTCATGCATATGAAGCCCCCTTTCTTGCACACCATGGCGTGATCGACGTCATAGGAAGAGCCACACACGCATTGGGAGGGCAAACCTTCTACTGGCCAACCGTACCTTAGAGCAATGGCATCTGTAAATTCTTGTTTATTGAGACTGAAACCATTTGCCCTTATCGGTAATGTAGTTAAACAGGTCGAGGCGCCCACCTCCTGCGCTATAGCTACTTTTTTTTTCAAATTCCCTGGTATTTGCAGCAATAGTTGTTGCAGCTTGTCACTTTGGCCTTGCTGTCGTTCTGTCGTAATAGACCTTAGGATCTTGTTTACTTCACTGGTATCCACCTCCCCTGTTGCGTTCTACTACTACTACTACTACTACATCATGTCAACCACACACTATATCCACCACCACACCTTGGCAATCACACTACTCCACCACACCTTGTCAACCACACTACTCCACCACACCTTGTCAACCACACTACACATCCACCACACCTTGTCAACCACACTACACGCCATATCAGTCACACTACACATCCACCACGCCTTGTCAAGCACAGTAATTCCAAGAGGATTCGGTCCTATAACCACTAGGGCCCATAAACACCTGTGTCTATAAAGCCTGGGGCCCATTAGACAGGGAGGTGTGTTTCACTAAGTGTTCAGCCTCTCGAGTGTTTAACTGTATGTGCTGTTCACTACCTCTGACTCCTGACATTTATTGTGGAAAAAATACCTAATAATAAAGATAGGAGAGAACAAGCTGTGTGGTCTCTCTCTCTCTCTCTCTCTCTCTCTCTCTCTCTCTCTCTCTCTCTCTCACCATAACTTGTAAATTTGGAATCTTCATCACAGCATAAAAAATAATTCATAAAACTTACCAAAAGTAGTTTATTGTTACTGTAACTTCATGAACTAAAGGGTTAGGTCGACATCACAACGGCATCACAACGGTCATTTTCGTCCTAGAGAATATGTAGTACTCGTCTGTGTGTCTGTTTGTCTGTTTCACCTTCCGTTTGTCTGTTTGTTTTGTGTGTCTCTCTTTAGTCTGTGTGTGTGTGTGTGTGTGTGTGTGTGTGTGTGTGTGTGTGTGTGTGTGTGTGTGTGTCTTCCGTGGTCAACAGGAAGGAACGTAAGGACAAGAATGTTCAAATTTATTATAAATAACCGGGTCAGGAAAAAAATACGCAAATTTGACTAAACTCTATTATTTTACATAAATTTTTGCCACTATCAGTTTACTTGACGCAACATCTGAGGCACTTAACTACTAAATCACTCTAATATTAACCTTTAATTTTTTTTTATTTTTACAAAGTTTAATCGACAAACTTTAAATCCTTCTTGTTCTTTCGTCATTCCATAATTACTTCTTTTATCATTCTTAAAATACTTAAAAAAATCCGATAAATTAATATACATATGCAATGACTAGCACTCAGGAAACGTAAATAATAGAGGAATATATTCTCGTGTTTATATGGCCTGTGTGTGATCGGTACATACAGCATGGTACAGTCCGTCATCTTCAATCAACTGTAACTGTATCATTTCTAACTGTATCTATAAGTTACATTCTCACACCCTTATATCTCAGTTAACCGTTTCTATGCATATATAATCCTTCTTCCCTTTTTAACCCCTCCTCTCTCTCCCTCTCATTTCTCCCCTCGTATCTCTCTCCCCTTCACTCCTTTCCATGTTTGTTTAACCTTCCCTCTCTCCCCCCTCCCCTCCTTGACCTTATCCTTCCGTTTTCAGTTTAACCTCTACCTCCCCCTTTATCCTCCATCTCCTTCAGGATTTTCCCCTTGGGTATTAGTCTTCCTTCATCCTCACAATGCCCTCTTCTCCACCTGACAACCTCTCCCTCTCTTCCGCTCCCCCTTCTCCCTTTCTCCCACTCCCTGGGGTACACACCTGGCCCACACCTACCTGCCATTCATAAGCTGAAGGTAAAAGATTCAGTCTTACTCACAGAGAAGGTTCGGTCTCCGTCGTTCGAACCGTGCCAACTATGTGACGCCCAGAGCTGAGGTACCTAGACGACGCACAACTGCAGTAGAACAAGAATTAGACCTTACGTAAATAACACGCTATTTGCTCAGTAACTTAACCTAACCAATTTTGTATATGTTTCTTTATGGAACATCTCCTGCAGTATGTGTTGACGGTAGAAAACTCTATGGGGTCTGGCCGCCGTGTTTAACTGTTGCTAATAATAACCGAACGCCTTGGACAGAGAACATACTGTAGGCATCGGGAGGCGACGTACTTCCACACTACGTTACTTTTGTATTCACTTTCAAAACATTATTGACTTTCATGTTTAATAATCATTTTAGAATATTTTTATTGTTGTTATTATTGTTGTTCAGTGGACCTTGTACCGGAACGGTGAATTCTGTACCCTGGCCGGAACATACCGCCAAGACATTACCTCTGCCGTAAACTGAATTAATCCTCTGGTGTTTTATTTGTCCCCGTGATACATAGCCCTTAAGATTTTAACCCCGAGAGCAACCTAGTGGCGTCACCTGTTGGCGTAGAGGCCAACTAGCTCCGTGAGTCAGTTCACACGGGGTCCACGAGGCGTCTCTGCTGTCGCGTTTCCCTGACCAAGAAAAGTCAATATCTGCGCAAGGGCTTCACAACGAGTGGGGTTCCCTTGACGAGTGGAGGTGTGCGCCTCGTCCGTGACGTTCGGGATACTTTGCTTGGAATTTTGGAAGATGCTGATGTGATTCCGAGGTAGAGCCAACGGGGATATGTAAGGCTACCACCTCAAGTGTGAGCTGACAGCGAGCTATGGACAGTCTCGCCTGCCAGCCATGAGATCGCGTGCTGCTCGTCGTGTCTCGCTGTGGCTGTGGAGCGCCGCAGCAGTCCTCGCTCTGTGGGCACCGCGGTAAGTGGCTGCAGTAGGCTAAAGCTGTGTGTGGTAATGGTAGTTGTGTGGCGAGGCTCTTGGGACGATGGTGACGGTGGGAGCGACCACACAGACACACACACACACACACACACACACTCAAGAGTCTATTTGGGGAGGGCCAGAGCTTAGAGGTGGTGGTGAGGGCTCAGGACACTGCACTCACCCGATACCTTCACACACACACACACACCTGGGCGAAAAAGGACATATCAGTGAGCTTCCTAAACTGGCATCTTGATATACAAGCGGGTGAGAAAGCCATTGGAAAGTGACACCTGCCTTCCCTTTTTTGTTTACATTTTATAGTAAGGGAGGAAGACAAGGCTTGGGTGTGGAGGAAGGAACAAAAGGATAACGCACAAAAAAGCCGTTTTATCCAGATGACATATTTCGATTCATGCAAAGGAATTATTATATTTAATTGTCATATAATATTTTGCTAGTCATTTCTTAAGGTCTCAGGTATAGAGGCGTATATTAGATAGTTTTAGACACTTTTGTTGATGGTTGAACGTGCTGATGAACTGTGGACGAACAGACAGAAATCTAGCGCAAGCGTATCTGCCTGACACAATTCTGAGTTACATGCAAGTTGATGAGTAACAAAGAAAACAGTGTATCGATCTCGCTAAGGATATATACCTAAACGTAGCTTATATTATTCTTTGTAAACATTCCTAATATAGTCATGGAAGTTTATAGCTAAATAAACAAAACAGAGAAATGTGAAATAATAACAAAATGGAAAGTTTATTTTTGTATTATTTTCTTTTACTTGAGTTGTGTTCTCTGTAGGGGAAAAATATATATATCACTGACACCGAAAATATTTTTAATAATTATCTGGGAAGGAAGATAGATAATGATAATAAATACACGGAGAAGAAGAGAAATACAACAATATTGATAATAAGAACAACATAATAATAATAATAACTTTAATAATAATAATAATAATCATAATAATAATACCTTTAATAATAATAACAGCCACAACCACAACAATAACTCAACAATCACAAAATAATACAACTCGTCTCTCCTATTCAGCTCCATGTGATTTTTTCGACACAACAATAAGCCAATACAATGCCCCCATACATCTACCTGCCTTGTTGGTGAACTATGACACCTGTAGCATAGAATCACACTGTCTAATTTCTATATAAAAAGGTATGTTTATTTTACCTTTTTTCCTTAATTAGTTTACCTGTGGGGGGAGGGTTGGGGGGGGGCGGTATATTGGGGAGAGTGTTTTATGCCTTTTGATCCCCTTGTAAATTTTTTTTAATGGGGTCAGAATGTATATAAAAAAATTTGTCTTAAGTGTATCTGCCAATTTTCAAGTTAATTGGCCACACGTGAGAGGATTGGTGAGTGGTTGTTTTTTTGTTTACAAGTACAAAAACAACAACAACAATACAAACACTTATCCCCTCCTCACCCCTCACCCCCCACGAAGGAGACACAGCAACACCCACCTAAAAAAAATGTGAATAAAACAAAATAGTAAACCCCTGAAATGTGACGTACAGGAGAGAGGTGGGAGAGGAGGAGGAGGAGAGGAGGAGAGGAAGGAAAGAGGAGGAGAGGAGGAGGAGGAAGGAGGAGGGAGAGAAGCTGCTTGAGTATGTTAGCTGCAGTATGTCAACGAAGAAAATGGGATCCTGTTCTCTAATACAGTGATTGAGAGGGTGGAGAGTGTGAGGGAAGGGAGTGGGAGAGGAGGGGAGGTGAAGAGGGAGAGTATGTGGGGAGGGAGTGGGGGTAGAGGTAGAGAGTGTTGAAGTGAGTGGTGGGGGAGGAGGAGGAAGGTGTGGGGAGGGAGTGACGGAGAGTGGGGTGGAGAGGGAGGAGGAGGGGGAGGGAGGGAATGGGGGGGTGAGAGAAAGTAAGTGGGGGAGGAGAAAGGAAAGAGTGAAGGAGTTGTAGAAATGGAAGGAGAGTGAGAAGAGGAGAAGGAAGGGGATGTGAAGGAGTGAGATAAAGGAAGAAATGAAGAAAAGAGTTGATAAAGGGAAGTGGAGAGGAGTAGTGGTGATGGTGGAAGACGAAATGAAGAAATAAATAAGAGAATGAGAGAAAAATATAATAAGCGGATTCGAGGTCATTTTACCAAGAGCGGGGTATGTGGTTAGCGCCTGGGAGAACACACTACGGTTACTGCTATCTAGAGTGAGACTTCCCCGTTTACAAGAAGAGGAAGGCAGGTGAGGACGGGTGACCAAAGTTGTCCAAGTACAAGTCTGAGATGATACGTATCTCACCCGACCAGCCGAAGAAGTAGTCGTTCTTCAGACACCTAAAAAGCGACGATTCTCCTGAGCGTCTATAGAGGTTTAAGCTGGATTGAGATAATTAGAGAATAGATCAAGTCATAGGTGTTGAATTTTTTTAAATCATGTATGATAAATTGTTAGTTTCTTAGTTTGTGTGATAATCTCGTCAGACGTAAAGGTGATGTCTGGTGTATAGTCAACGCGTTATTGTATTGCGTTTTCTCAGTAAATTTCACCCCTACATTGTGGAATCATGTAAACAGCTTTCATTTTTTTATGGATAAATCTCATTTCTAACCTGATTTATCCTTTTACTTGTTCTTAACTTCTATTATATAATAAAATTTGGAACGAATATTTGTGTAGAACAGTAGACCATTAAGTAATCTTTGCTGGGTCTGTTAGAGGCTAGTTTAAGGGCAAAGTGAGATGGGTAGTCATGTTATACTACAGGGTAAATAATTTGTACCCAAAAACGCAAAGTAGAAAGTCTATTAAGAAAAGATATTTGGTACATTTTCATATCGTAATAATTTTCTCATTTAGGTTTATCGTTTTCTAAGTATTAAAGCCATTTTCTTGTTATTTTTCTATTGATGAAAGATAAGTGTTATTCTGACCTTATTAACATAGCCAATATTAGACTAGAATAAAGTCGATACAAAGATGATAAGACTTTTGATGGATAAAGGACAAGATGGGAAGAAAATCAAGGCCAGAGAAGAGAGATAGAGGGACCCTGAACGAGAGAGACTAAAGATGGTGAGAATGAAAGAGAATCTAATGAAAAATTTTGGAGAGAAGATGAATGGAAATGTCAAGAGAATAACAAGCTCTGTGTGTGTGTGTGTGTGTGGACTCCGTCATCGCTTCCCGCAGGTAATACAAGGCACCAGGGCAGTCACCTGTCACAAGCAACAAATGGAATATTTTCCTCCCAGTGGGGGTCTGTTGAGGTCGATCCATTAGTAAATATGTGTGTGTGTGTGCGTGTGTGTGTGTGTGTGTGTAACTGTGTATACGTGCGTGTGTACGTGTGTGTGTGTGTACGTGCGTGTGTGTCTGTTAGAGATATACAGAAGTGTGTACACATTTTTCCCACAACACTACGCTCAAACAAACGAAAATATTCCCCAAATTTTAGCACATATGTTCCTCTTGTGTTAATCAGGAGCAACACTGACGAAACATTAAGAAACAATTATCACTTAATGAATTTATCGAGCGAGGAGGAACATATCTTAACAGGCTGCAGTAGGTTCTCTCTCTCTCTCTCTCTCTCTCTCTCTCTCTCTCTCTCTCTCTCTCTCTGTTACATGAAGGGAGGAATCATGACTGAATCTCTATAAAGGCATGGACTCTCCTTTGTGTGTGTGTGTCTGGTAGAATGGGTGGACTGTAAGGGCTGACAACTTTGATGGTGATGAATGACACAGAATCATGGTCAAGCAAAGGGAGAAAATCGTATTCATATGCGCCAGAAAGGTGGAAAATTCGATAAAGGCGGAGAATATGACGAATGGAAGCTGACTGGTGATTTTGGGAGGCGGGAAAAAGCAGAAGTGATAGGGAAATATGGGTAAATGTTGTCGTGAAATACTACTATTACTACTACTACTATTACTACTACTACTACTATTATTACTACTACTACTATTTTTTAACGTGGCCTCCAGCTTCCGCCAATAGCCACACCTTCGCCGCCATTTTATAACTATTACTATCGCTTACAAGTGAAAAATTAAGTATACTTCCAAAACACTATCGAGTCTCCTACTTCTTCAAAAACCAACACAAGTACATTAAGACGTCACTCAAGGCCCTTCATTATGGTGTCAGGGGGCGAGGGGTAGGGCGGGGGGAGAATAGGGCGTAGGGAGGGAGGGCGTAGGGAGGGAGGGCGTAGGGAGGGAGGGCGTGGAGAGGTAGGGCGTGAGGAGGGAAGGCGAGGGGGGTACTTCACGCTGACTGACACACAAGTTGTTTAAGGTGTGTGTTGAGTGGGCTGAGAGAGGCTCCACGGTTTGTTATTGAACCTCTCATAAAATGATTCATCCTAGCTTCCTATAGCAGTCCTGTTCCCTTAAAACAACTTCCTTTCACCCATTGTTGTATCTACTGTGTGTTACTGTAATGTGTTGTACCTAGTTTGATAAATACATTCACTATAAAATCGACAGTAAAATGTAAGCCACGTTAATCATAAAACTTTAAATTTCACCAATGACGCGGCTTATACTAACTAATTTGTCATAGAAGAAACATTTCACAATTAACAAGAGTGGAATCGTGTGCTAAGAACGACGATAAACTAAAGAAATATATGTAAAATAAATAAAAAAATAAAAAAAAAATCGTGAGAATGACATTGTGTAAAATTGACAAGATGTTAGATGTTGTCACTTTTTATCAGATATTAAAGTTGTTTTTTTAGTTTTTTTCACTTCGCTCTTTTGATTCTGTCTCTCGTGTGAGTTTAAGTCGTTTATGAGTTCATGTCGTTTATGAGTTTATGTCGTTTATGAGTTTATGTCGTTTATGAGTTCATGTCGTTTATGAGTTCATGTCGTTTATGAGTTAATGTCGTGAATATGAGTTTATGTCGTTTGTGAGTTTATGTCGTTTATGAGTTTATGTCGTTTATGAGTTTATGTCGTTTATGAGTTTATGTCGTTTATGAGTTTATGTCGTTTATGA